AAGTACTAAATCCGATCCTATCCGTCCTCGCACAAATTCTATCATGATTTGAAGTCTCGCAGCGAGAAAGGAACGTATCCAACCCAATTCACATTGTTGCATGCATGTATTTTTGCTTACATTTGTATTTATTGTACATATTGCTTTGTGAAATAAACAGTGTCTAAGGAAATACAGGATGCACTTAATAAAAGCTCAACTCTCTTCAACATCAAAGCTCAATAAGAAATGTAAAACCAAAAAAGGCCCGTAACGAGCCATCAAGAGAAGGTCGATACCATGAGGGGAAAAGTCAATTTAAGTAAGCTTCATAAGCATTTCTCTCTCGGGAAGATACTTTAAGTAGGGGACAAGTTTGAATAGAAATACCATCATCCGTTCCTTTATTGAATGATCAAATGCCTTTCGGGTCATTACTTACCAATGAAGGGGCACCAAGCTCGTTCTAGGGGTCTAGTTTTCACAAACACCGCATGCTTTTTCCCCCACGAACCTCGCAGATTGAAAGAATCAAGAAAACCAAGTTGATAGAAAAATCCAACCAAGAGAAATTGTTTGCTATCGAAAATGTCTAAAGGCGATAGAGGGCATGGATTTATATGATCGAATGAGAGCCGACAAGATGTGCCTTTGTGCTAGGAGTAGTGATTCCAAAGAAGTTCAAGATATCGAATTCACCAAGTACACCGGTACATAATATTCAAAAATCCACCTTCGGATTTACTACGGTAAAATAACAAAAGTTATACATGATGAGAAACTACTAATCCATTTCTTTTAGGAAAGCCTAGGTGATACCGTCCTCACTGGTATATATATCTTGATAGAACCAAGATTCAAAAATGAAAGTATTTGATTGATGCATTCATCTCTCAATATAGGTTCAATTTGGAAATGGCTACTAATAAAACTACACTATAAAAAAGTTTTTTTTTTAGCATGTGTCCAAAAAATAAATAACACTAATATCAACAAAAAATTTATGTCTCAAATTATTTAAACAAAAAAAAATTGTTTATTAAGTGCCTCAAAAAGACTCTCTACCTTGTCCATTCCTTACTCAAATGCTTCCAAGCATAATACTCAAGAATGTTAGAATAATAAAATCAATTTCATATTCATAATATTTTCCTATGCTATTCCTAAATCTGATAAAAAAATTATAAAAAAATGAAAACAAATTGCAAAATTGATCCGTTTGCACTTAAGAGCAGAGCAAAACCCAAACAACTGTCTGCCACAACATTAAGCTCGTTAAAAAGGTAAAAATTAGGGAGAAAACAAAGAAGGACAAAAGCATACTTGATTTTTTTTTCTTTTTTTAAAAATCGGGTTTATTACATATTAGATATACTAATTTGTCAATTTTTTTTTTATTATTTGAAAGTATATATTTTTATTTATTTATTTATTTTTGTATTTGAATGAATCAATTTCTCGGTTTTTGTTTTTTGTTTTTTGTTTTTTTTTTAAAAACATTTGAGCGTGTATATGTCCATTAACTGCACACGTGATATTATCATATAAACTCTATTATGAAGCACTTAGCAAAAAAAAAAAAAAAAAAAAAGAAATCCAGTACAAGGGCTGTCTGGTTTGTGTCTGACTTTTATAACATCAACTTTGGGAATAAAAAAGAAGAAACAGAAGCAGATGCTAATGGTTTAGGAGCTGATTCGAGGATGTGATTGATGAAGATCCCGATAGTATTTAGAACACAGATTTGGAGTTAATAGCTTTCAAAAAACCAGGAGTTGTTTATGCAGAGACGTTGTTATTGGCAACTGTGTTGATCTTCTGCCATTGTATTTCAACATTTCTTGATTCCATTCTTTAATTTTAATACACAATAATAATAATAATAATAATCCTAAGATTTAAAAGCACATGACAACAACAATAAAACTAGCTGAGCTCGAATTCTTCTGTGCCAATCCGCATGATCAGAATTTGTAAACCAAGTTAAGAACAAAAAGAAAACGTAATTTGGGAAAATTGCAAGGTTTTTAAGTTTTTACTTGTTTGGATGTGTTGATTTGCTAGAAAATAACTTGTACTTTTGTTTTTTTGTTTTTTTTTTTTTTCCTTATTGAATTTGAGAGAAAAGCGAAAGAAGAGAAAAAGAGAGGGATTAAAATCATGTATGGAGAAGGAAAGAAATTCTGGTGCGGGAAGGAAAATGAATCCTGTTTCTAAATCGTGTTGATGAAAGATTACACACACCTTGGCTTCCTTTGTTTTTCTATCTCTTTTGGTTATCTTTAGAGATTAAACAAATGTTGACTCTTTTTCTGTCTTTAGGGTGTTTTATTATGTTTTTTCATTTTCATTTTTATTTTTTCTGATTGTCATGTGTTTAAAAGCAAGTTTATATAACACTATCATATGTGTAATTAACACACATATCAATATAAAGTTATGAAGATCATTCAATTAGGAAAAAATTATGAATTAGTTCATTAAAGTAGTAAAAATTTAAACATAAGCACTAAAATATACAAAATTTATATATCAAATATATAATAAACTCTCTTTTTATACTGTTATTATTAATTTGCTAACTCATATATCCAAATAATTTTTGGCTTCATTATTATTATTATTATTTATGCATATTTAAATGTAAAGCTTATTTCATGTCAGTTTTTGCATTTTTAAAATAAGTTTATTTTATATAAGATATTAAGAAAGCAATCCATATTTTAACCACATTCACAAAAAAACTGAAAAAATTCTTGTATTCTCTCCTAAGAATTTCGAACCCCAATAATAATGTAAGCAGACGTGTAAGAACCGCACGTGTATATGTACTAAATAAATCTTTCACATCAAAGACTGTTAATTGAAAAAAAAAAAAACCAACAATTAGCGTTTGGTATTTCTACGCCATTAAAATTTAACGATGCATGTCATTAGTAAGGAGTTACTTCCATAACGATGTTTTTTAACATATAATTTATCATTACAAATTTGTTTCACATCATTTGATAAAAAAAAAAAAAATTAAAAAAATTATTTCACACCACTAATTAATTACCTGAAAAAGACAAACCTTCCATTTCTTAGAAAGAGAGTAAATCAGTAATAATAAACAATTGCATATATCGTGTAATCATATCATTTTTCTGAAGAAAAGATCATTTTTAATGTCAATCCTAAATCTGAAATGACTTGATTTTAATTTATTGATGTATAATGAAATAATACAGTGCGATTCTATACTTGTAAGTTCTTAGTAAAAATTATCATGTCGATCACACGACACTAAAATGCTTATATTCTTTAATTGCAACAAAAGCATGACGTAATAAACCAATTGATCCATCAAAATCAAGGGATTATGACCGAAATTGACAATTTCAAGTGGACTATTTAACGCCAGCTATTTGAGCTACTGTCGTGGACGCTTGGATCTATGGACCAGGACAAACGGTACAACCTCAACTATGTGGTGGATCGGCTGTTCAAATCCAATATCTCGGGTGACATGCAGGGCTCATCTACGTGTGCCATACAATCCTTTACCATATGTCTACCCATGTTCAAAACCTTTGTCTAATTTGTCGTCATCTTGTTTTCTTCGCAGGTTATTTCTTTTGCTTAATTACTAGTGCTTTTCAAGGCTGTGTCAGAATCCCAATCCCAAATAACGCATGCAACTCGTGCGGTCTTCCCTAGCAAATACGCCCAAAACAACGTGTGGTAGGGATACGATTGTACGGAACTTCTTTTGTTCGTTGGACCTCGGGCTGGAGTCCAAGTGCATAGGAATCTAGATAGGTGCCGCTTGAGCAGGTTTCGAGCTTGAGACGTTTTTAGGGCATGCCGAGTTTAGGAAACAGAAACATGTTGGGCTTGAATTGTTTTTGCAGTGTTTATCTGTATGTTTCTCGGGCCTTTAAGCCCATGGTGTATGTATCCCATAGCCTTTTACTCTGAAAAGAGCAGGATCTTGTGTCACGATTAACAGAGCCTACCTGTAACTCTCTCTCTCTCTCTCTCTAGCGCTCGAATTTTTTTCCTTTTTTTGTTCTGTTTTGTTTACAAGTTCTTTCCTTGATTGTATGCCATCGTTGGTTAATACTTAAAACGCTACGCTGGCATCATTACTGCAAAAACCCTAAATCTTTAATACCCAATACCTTCAGATTCCAAAAAAAGAAAATATACAAAATCAGATTCAGGGTTTATATTACTGCCATGTCAGCTGATGTAGATTCATTCAGTCGAAGAGAACTAGATTTTAACAGAACTGCATTGTGAGAGATTTTCGATTGGATTGGTCAATGGGCCGAACTCTGAAAGCAGGGATAATTATCCCCAGTTGAGAATGGAAACAAACCATTTTTTTTCAAGTCCTGAAAGAACGAACTGCTTTCTTGGCAACTGAGGTCCAAGGTAATGTACTTGAAAGCACTTTGTTGGGCTAAATTAGATTAATTGTTATGTTATTTCAGTTACTTCTAACAACTGGTCTGATCACGTTATTACAGTAATGTGATCTTGTTGTTAATGTCCCTTATAGCAGCATATTTTCCCCTTTCAGTATCCAACTTTTTTTTTTTTTTCAATTCCTGTTAATTAAAGTTCCTTTTTCTGTTTCTGGTGCTTCAGATTTCTTAAGTTTGAATGTAGTGGCTGATATTGATATCAATAAAATAAAGGTCCTCTTTTCTGTCAAGTAATTCCATATGGAAAGTTAATCTGAACAACGCAGTACTTGTAGTTTAACAAACAGAATGACAATATCAAATGACAACAAATACTTCTTGATGATTCATTTAACTAAATTGAAGAACAGATGGAAAATTAAAAAAGAACACGACACCACAAAAACAAGACAAACATTATAATCTAGGAATCAACTTAAGACGAAATCCAATGAAGCATAGAAGATAAAACCACCATCAGATAAACCAATTGAACCATCAAAACCAACAACTTATTACTGAAATTCGATCCAGAGACCGACAGCAGCAGGACATAATGCTGGATGCCTCTTAAATAGGCCTGTTCCCTTCAGATTTTCTCCGCTGGGGCGTGAAAGAACGAAGCCACAGATGTCTTCCATTCACCATGAATTTGGCTATGTTCCTCCCTCCCAAAATTCTTGGTATCACCAAAGATGTTGTGAAGATCACTTTTCCAAACAAAGGGGAGACCCCCTTCCGAACCTTTTCAATGGAAACATCTTTAACTATAATGCCCCAATTCCTGCAAAAAAAAGAAAAAAAAAGAAAAATATCATCTTGATAAATTGATACCAATCCAAAAATTTTCAGTTAATAATAAAGATCAAATGCAAGACCGTAATTTTATACTATTAATGTTTTTACCTTTAACTCTGATTAATAGTGTATGCAATAGAGATTGTTAATTTACTTACGAAGTAAAGAAATGGGTTATTTCTTGTCTGCTCAATGGACTTCCACTTGAAAATGTTAGGAACATTGTTCGTGCTGCTTCAGGAACTTGCTCCAGGAAAAATTCACTTGCATTAGGATTCAGAGATGATTTCACTGGAGTCTTATGTGTTGGTGTGTCATCTGCCACCATTTTCTGGCCCATACTTTGTGCAATAGCATCCTCCTTAGAGGCAATCATACCCGATTGCCATGGAGCACTCCCACTGCCTTGTCTACTAGGAGAACCCCTCACCAACGTTTGAGCCGGAAATAGTGCGCTAGTCTCCTCTCCAAAGGGTCTAACCACCAATTCCATATCCGATGCATCAGCTTCCAAGGCTGCGGTCTCACCAAATATTTTACCACACACAGCCTCCATAATGTCCATGTGCCTCTTGTACATGAACTCACGGTGATAGTGAAAGAAACGCCGGTTCATGGGCTCATCAAAGAGGCTAGCGAGGACAGGAATATCATCAGATGATGGCTCAATGGCATTAGGTCGGAGGCATTCTAAACATAGTAGACCCTCTTTGAAGAGGGCTTCAATGGTGTCATTGCTGTGTGCCTGAACCAATCTGATCAGGCCAGGGGAACCTAGTTCCTCCAATACAAGCAAAAGGGCAATCACACTCTTTACTGTCTTTGGCTCTTTGCCCATTTGACCTACCATTCTGTTAAAGAGGATTCTTTCGAGTGTGTAAAATAGCAGTAAATTGACAGAACAACCTACTCCACTCATGTTTGGAGCAGAAAATGGTGAGAAAGAACAAAGGTAAGATACGAAAGATATTTCAATGTCTGTGATTAAGACTATTGGGCACTATGTTGGATGCAGTTCCATACACTTATATACAATGAAATGAACCTAGACATGAGTTAATTTTGGGTATGCTTTCATTGTTTTGTGGCTCTCTGGGTAAGAAATGCAATAGGCAGGAGGATGCCGATGGTGCAACAGCTGTTGCCGATGCTTTTTTTTTTTTTCTTGTGCTGATTACAGGTTGTTGCTTCCTGCAAACACTTCTTAGGAAAATTTCAGTTAAAGATTGGGTGAAAATTATGAGAATAAAAAGCTATCATTGAATTAACAAGCTCGGACTTTTGTAAGCAAGTTTTGGCACTTTGCAGTTGCCATTTCAAGCTCATCTTTGTTAGATGAGGCTCCTCTTATGATAGCTTCAGGAAGATTTAGTTAAGAAGCTTGGATTTGTGTAAGAAAGTGTCGGTGCTTGTCAAGCGGCCATTTCAAGTATATCTTTATTAGATTGGACTCCTTTCATTTAGGCTTCAATATATTTAGTGATGTAAAAATGAGTCGCCATGTTTTCCCATGTGTATCATTATGTAAATATATATAGAACTCTTGAGGACACCTTGTTTGGTGTTAGAAGAACTTGGAATTAACCTATTACAGCCACCTTTTTCTTACATTTGCCTAGAACACTTCCATATAAGCCAATAAGGGTGCTTGACACAGACGATGCTCTTATGCAATCACTCTGTCATCTTTAGTAGTATTATTTGGGGGAGAAATTGATGAACTCATGAAGTTAATCAACTTAACTCCTTGAATTTATAAGATTTAAATTAAGGTGGCAACTTGCGACCATGTTTAGCACAATCAAGCTGTTAGCAGGTACATAGAACATCATCTACATAAAATTATTTCCCTTCAGGTTAGAACAAAATCAGTTCCAGAAGGGAGCAGCTCGTTTCTTCCTCTTGATGACTTAAAAACTATGAGATCTTACCAGGTAGATTTTATGGAATCATTATCTGAATTCCCTTTTTTGCCATTGCTGTTTCTACTCTTGATAGATATTTTGCTCGAAGACAAGGCTATTGCTATGTCCAATTTTTGTATTTGTACACAAATACATCCAGTTTGTATGATGAAAGACCAAAATATTACCACATTTGCTATAACTGCAATAGTGCTTTATCACAACGTTGCTGCTTGTTATGACAGCGATTACTACTTCCAACACTGGTAAATCAGAATTTAAGCCGCCTCTGTGCTAATTCCCCAGTTGAAAATTGAATACCTGTTGCCTTTGTAGTTTGTTTTTTGCATGTAGTCTATAATAACATACGGCCACTGATATATATTGACTGCAAAATGAATTGTCAGGATAATTGGATTGATTATTGTGTATGCTGCAGTTGCTTTTTTGACCGGCAGTCAGGCGTGATATCTGCAAGCACACAAAGATATCCGAGCAGTTGGATGGAAGAAAATTTCTGCAACTTAGGCTGTGAGAACTCATGGTCCCAGTCCCCACTGTTATAATGCTGCTTTATGCAATAACTTCCTCTTGATTTTTTTCCATTCCTGAATAACTCGCATTTAGTGCAAACATTGTTCTACTATTTAGCTTGTCTTGTTTCTGTTGCTAATCTAAGACATCAAGCCAGACAATAAAACTGTAATGGAAGGAGATTTGTTCTCCAAATAATCCGATTATGCCAATTTGCACTTTGAATTCTGCTTCTCACATTGTTACAAGTTCCTACCGTAAATTCTAAAAGAACTTACTCTTATCCAGAGTTAAATTACTGAATATTTCTTTCATTCTTTTATTTTTATTGATAACTCAAAATAACTGAACCTTTGTTATGTTGACCTGGAAAACTCAACAAGAACTGTACCATACCTTTAGATCTAGCAGAAGGCCTATGCCAGTAGTTATCCAACCCCTTGATGCTTGCCCTTGCCTAACCTCAAACAAACAGCCAAAGCGCACATTATTCTTCCACTGTAATATGTTAATAAAGTTTCCTGGGGATCTAGACTTCCCCACCGGAAATATTAGTTCTTGTCATTGCTGCCAAAAGGTCTTGTTTTTTAATTTTCTTTTTCATGTGAGATCAGATTTGTTCATACACTGAGGGCAAGCAAACATCACAGCTGAAGCTTAAGCAAAACCTGGATTATCTCAATCGTAGAATCATAGCTTAGATTTGAACCATGATATCACTACCTGGGTTTTTATTCTCCTCTAAACTGTTTTCTGATGATTTTTGTTCTCTTGGTTCAGAAGTCTGGTTGGAGCCCTATTCTCCCCCTTTGTGTTGACAATGGCCTTCTGGTTTGCTTTAGTTGACACAACAGTATTGCTTCACGCTCTATTGTATTAGACTTTGTTCTCTATTAATGAATCTTCTCATCCTCTATAAAAATTAAAATAACTACACCGAATGTAAAATTCCTTTATTTTGTTCAGGAGTTGAATTTTCTTCACACCTGATAAGCTTTTTTCTTTTAAGGTTCCAACTCACAAGTTTTTTATCCACAAGAGGCATAAGGCATTAGCTGCAAGTTATTCAGTCACATCATCTAAGAAATTATTTTTTTGCTGTCATAAAAATTCGTTACATTTTCATTCTGTACAAAAGGACCCATTCTACAGATATTATTATCTCATTTGCAAAATACATGATACAAGTTCTGAATTAAATTTTCTGTTCAGGGATGCGTTTGTTGCAAGAAAAAAAAAAAAATTGCATGGTGCCTTGAGTTTCAGTCTCACATTTCTGCAGAACTTGGATCTGGGAGCACATTCCTAAACTGATTCACAATGTCGAAACAAGGGGACTTGGAAAGGGGAGGGCTTTGCCTGTTTCAACAGAACTCCAATATATACCATTGAGCTATTGCAGTGCCTCGTATAAAATAGTTCTTCAGTGATATTATCATCACTGATTCCGGTTATAGGCCACAATTTCCTCCATGACAAGACGAAGGGTTAATCTCTGTAGCCCTGCAAAAAGTATAGGAACATTGTCGACTGATTTTCTGGTATATCACTGAGTTGACGCAACAGTGGCACCTGATTGGTATCTTTTCTTCTTCTTCTTCTTCTTTTGTTTTCCTATTTGACAAGATTTGAAACATGAAGTTTGCTCCATGGTGATGATATAGCTCACCACGAAGCCTTATCTGCTCACCAGATTTTACTTGATGATTATTGATGAAGTTGTTGGCAGTTTGGGAATTTACAAGATTCTCTGGTATCTGTAAAAGGCATGAAAATGAACGCGTACCATTGCATTTAGAGGTGCATAATGGTAATTTGCTATGTTTTGGCCAAAGAGAGGAGAGTATTAATGATGGCAGATATATCACTCGGAATCCACAAAATAAATTTTGCATATTAGGCAAATCAATTAAGGGGATTTGAATTAAATTTACAACCAATGTCTCTCGGTTTTATTCCAATATATCTTGGAGCCAACTCAACATAACCACGGAATTTTACCTTTTTTTTTTTTTTTTTTTTTTGCCCCCAAGACTGTACGTTAGATAAACACAAAACTGTGAAATATTATTAGGGAGCAATTTTGGAAACATGGATGGAATATTTTCCAAATTAAGGGATGGTAATCTTGTCATTTTGTTCAAAAAAGTTTATTCTCCTTGCCACGTTCTGGCGATTAAAATTCATTCACACCTAACATTCTGATTTTAGACTTGTGAGATATCACACAAATTATATTATATTGACATGGTACTTTCCTTATTCTTCCTTAGCACATAAATGAGATTACATCTTTATCTACCAGCTTTTGCTTGTTGAGGTAGTTAGTTTGTGGTTATCCATCTGAGTTCGGGATTACATTTCAGAATTTGGGTCCAAGATTACCAAAATAATAATAAATTAATTAACATGTGGCCTAGTTCGTGGTATACCATACTCTTATGGTGGCGGACCTTACAGAGTTAAGAAATTTTATAATACATAAGTAGTAACTCAGTGATATGTACGGTAGTTACTCTATAGACTCATTTTGAAGAGAGAAATAGACACATTAAATTACATCCGAATCCACCAAAAGTTATAAGAAGATTTTTATGTTCGCTCAATTTTTTTTTTAATTTTTTCTCTTATTTCTCACTCTTTTTTTTTAATTTTTTTTTTGTCTATCTCTCCTCAAAGTAAATCCATAAAGTAACTATTATACATGTCATTAGTTACTCCTTATGTATTATAAAATTTCTTCTTACAATTTACCATCTTTCTTTTACTCAACAAGGGAGAATAATTAAATTTTCTCGCATAATTTCTTAATCTAGTATCGGATTAGTCGGTTATCCACTCTATGTCGTAGGTTGGATAGAATAAAAATCATTTCAAAATTTAATAATTTTTTCATTAAATTTTTTAATTAAATTAATTTTTTATGTTTTTTTTATAAAGTTCCTACTTAAAAAAAAAACATGATTTATTTTTCTTTATGTATTGATTTTTAAATAAAATCTTATAATAACTTAAACTGAAATATTAATCAAGAATTCAAAAAAAAAAACATTTAAAAATATATTATTCATAAGAAATTATCCAAAAAAATAAAGTTACAATTAATGTGAAGACTAGTATAAAAATTAAATTGTTATTCTTATTTAATGTTGATGAAAAAAATTATTTTTTAAAAGTGTGTGTGTGTGTGTATAATCAATAATTTTTTTAAAATTATGTTATTTATTTTATTTTAAAGAAATTGGTTCCATAATGTTAAAAAAAAATTCATAGCAAATAGTTACTCGTTATGTGTAAATGTGCATAATTAATTTTAATAAAACTGATGATTCAATAGTTCTTTTATACCTCTTGATCATATTTAGTGGATTGAAACAAATTACCTGAAATACACTTTTAATCTTTTAGATTAAAATAATTATATATTTATATACATAACTACCATTTAAAAATTCTAAGAATTCATAATATATATTCTACTAATTTATTTTTTTAAAAAGAAAAACAATCATGTTTTAAAATTTTATTTTGAAATTAAAATATAGAGAAAATTAATTAAATATGTTAATAAATAAAATTTTATATAAAAAATATTAATTTGATGAGAATTTTCATAGACAATGATAAATTTAAAGAATAAATTTTAAATAATAGAAACAATATAATTTGAAATATAAGTTAATTTTAAAATATAAATAATAGTATATATATTTTATCATTATCATGCTGCGTACAAAATATAAATAATAACGTTCAATACTTCACAATATTTATCTAAAAATTCTTAATTTAAAAAAGAAAAAAAAGGGGGAAAAAAAAAAACAAGGATCAAGCCAAAGTTCGTGGGCCTTGCGGACCAACCCCTCTCACTTGGGGCTAGGTGTCCAGCGCCTAGGCAGGAAAAAGAAATTTACCGTTTTGATAATTTCCGGCAAACTCAATTTCGCCAGAAAAGTCATCGGAAAATTGTGTTTTTTAATTTTCAACATTTCAAAACTAAATACAGTTTCGTTTTTGTCTGAAAACACCCCAAATCACATGAATAACATAAACAAATTTGTTGATAACGTCAAAATTATTTTAATTCACACAAAAATTCAAATAAAAATAAAAAATTTAAAATATTTTTAGATCTTAATTTATCTTTTTCAGCCATATCATCCCTTGTTGCTACCAAAAACGAATTCTATTTTTCAAGGTAAACAAAATGGTGATAATGTCGATCTTGTTGTAATGATCGTAATGTGTTTCATCGCTTCTCTCTCTTTTTTGATAATATGTAAAAACCAAAATGAACTTGTAGATAGAAAAGACAATGTTCAAAATTAAGGAATCAAAGTGTATATTTTCAAACAAATAATATAAGTGCACAAATGAGTGATTAGTGAGATTTTAGATACGATGAATAAACAACGAAATGCTAGAGAGTATACAGTAAGTGCACATTGTTGTGAAGTCTTTTAGTATTATTAGTAATACAAGGAGGGAAAGAAAAAATGAATATTGAAACTCCACGCATCAACTTCAGCTGTTCTTTTAGAGATTCAGTGACAACATTTCAGGTTAACTGTGACATATCATTCATCTTTGTATCCATTTTGCTTCAATTATAAACCGTAGTCGTCTCAAAAAAGAAAAAAAAGAAGAAGAAATTAGAATGCAGGATGAAATTGGCTACTCTATTTCAGACTGAATACATGCAATAAAAATGATTGAAATACTACATTAATTGGATGATAATTAGCACAAGATAGCAACCAATGAACCAACAAATATATTTTGCAACCACATACAGTTCAAACAGAAGTAGTAACAAAAATTAATAATAGATTTAACCACTATGTACTTCTCTTATTCAGCTACTACCTCTGTGACGAGGCACATAAATACGAGCCCATAGATGCTTACGATTTACCATAAATTTTGCTTTTGTTTGTGCATTAAGTATTCTTGGTATCACCAAGGAACTAGTGAACACAATTCGTCCAAACTGTGGATCCTTGCCTGGTAGTATACGTTCGATGAAAACATCCTGTATTACGTCCCCCCAGTTCCTGAAAAAACAGACAAATGGAAGTAAGTGATAGACAGAGAGAACTTGAATTTATACTTGTGAATTACTAATTATACCATTCAACATTTACATACGTGGTAAAGAAATCAATAATTTCATGGCGGCTTAGAGGATGACCCATCGAGAATGTTAGGAACATTGTCCGAGAATCTTCGGGGGTTTGTCCAGGAAAAAATTCGGTGGCATCAGGATTCAAGCTTGATTGCCTGGATGTCTCACCAATTGCTTGACCACTGGCTCCACTAGAAGTCCCTGCAGCATAAATTGCTGTACCTTCATGTCCAGTACTAGACCCTTCTCCAAAGGGGCTAATTGCTGGCTTCAAACTTGACTCATCAACTTCTAAAGCCTTGGTCTCACCAAATATTTTCTCACAAACTGTTTCCATAATGTGCATGTAGCGCTTATACATGAAGCCACGGTTATAATAAAAGAACCTCAAGTTCATAGGCTCGTCGAAAAGGCCTATCAAAAGTGGAGTTTCATCTGGTTCAAATGGTTGAACCGAATTCGGCTGTATGCATACTAAGCACTGCAATGCCTCATAAAATAATGCTTCTATGGTAGTGTTACCGTAGGAGTTTATGGTCCGGATTAGGTCGTGGTAGCCAATTTCTTCAAGCATTAGCCAAAGGGCAATAACTTTCTTGACTTGTTGGGAATTTTTGCCCATTGAGCATACCATTCTATTGAAAAGGACTCTCTCAAGTGTATAGAAGAGTAATAGATCAACAAGACAACCAATTCCAGCCATGTTTTAGAGCATGGACACAGCTTGTGTGATGAGAAGTTTGAGAGTGAACAATGCCGTCTAGGAGAGGGCTTCGAGGAGTTGTGGTTGAGGGGATGAAGAGGCATGCAAGTGACTCTTGGGCATTGTAATATTGCAACTCTTTGAGAAAGAAATGCGTTGCATGGGAAGTGATGCTGAAGACTGGAGTGCTAGTTAATTGCCATTGGTTAAGGTTTAATATCTAAAACTCTGAATCTTCCATAATGAAATTTATTGAAGCGGCAAACCCCCACACTTAATTGTATACATTGTTTTGCCTTGTCGCAGCAGTCACACGCACAATCTCTTGCTACCAAAATTGTTGTAGTCTCTGTTGGTTCTCACATAATTAAAGTGAGAACTAATTAAAAAAAGAATACTACTTAAATTTTAAAGCGACCCTTTACATGTACGTGACCCACTCTCTTGCTAGCACCAGATTGAAAAAGCTCTTTTGGCTTTTCTCCATTATATCACTGCCTGCTATATATTCTTACTTCTTCTTTGTTTTCGTTGGAGGTTGATGGGATATTGGACTATATGATAAGAGGTAGTCCTTTACTATTATATTCTTACTTTTTTTTTTTTTTTGAGAATGCTTTTATTTTGATGCTAAAAAAACTCAACAAAGAGATAATTGTTATAAAACAAATAGAAATAATAAGAGAATTGAAGAAAATGATGACAAGAAAATGAAATCACTATAATGTGAATATAAGTGATAAGAACTTCAAAGTTTATCTTATTCTCTCTAGGAAACTTATACACCAACTAATGAACAATCAAGCCTATTTATAGGCTTCAAAATTGAAGAAAATGAAATCACTATAATGTGAATATAAGTGATAAGAACTTCAAAGTTTATCTTATTCTCTCTAGGAAACTTATACACCAACTAATGAACAATCAAGCCTATTTATAGGCTTCAAAATTGAAGAGAGAATTGAAAGGGACTATGAATAATCAATTGCATCACCCTTTCAATTTCTCATATTGAATGATGAATTGAATCATATTAATAATCATGAATAGTGGGGATATGAAAAATGGATGAACATGATGATGGACATTCATTATTTCATAACACTCCCCTTGAATGTCTATTATACAAGAAACATTCATCGTTAAAACCTTACTAGGAAAAAACCCAATGGGAAAAAAATCGTAGTGAAGGAAAAAGAGTGCAATATTCCTTGCACACATTAATCTCCATTTTTGTCTCCCCTATTGAAGGCATTATTTAAGATCTCTAAGACGACGCATTCCAATCTTGTGAATCTTCTCAAAAGTTGTGGTAGGTAATACTTTAGCGAATAAATCTACCTGGATTGTCACTTTGATGTATTCTTTCTTCAATTGAATTATGCAAGCAACATTATCCTTATATGATATTGTTGGAGCTTTTTTTACCGGTAGATAAACTACATGTCTCTCGGATACGATGGATCGTTGATCTTAGCCAAATGCATTCTCGACTTGCCTCGTGAATTGATATTTCTACATGATTTAAAGATGTGGCAGCTATAGTTTTCTTTATAAAACACAAAGATATAGCTGAATCTCCATATGTAAATATATAACCAATTGTGATCAAGCTTTGTGTAGATCGGATAAATAACCTACGTAACTCCGCGTCCGCATAACCAATTAATCTTGTCTTTGATTTATTGGATTAATATAAGCCCATATTAGTTATTCCTCGAAGATAATGTAGTACATATTTAACTTTATTTCAATGTCTCTATATTGAAACGTAACTATGACTTGCTAACAAATTTATAAAAAAGACTATATCAAGTCGAGTATTATTAGCAAGATACATCAATGCACCAGTGACACTAAAATATGGTACTTCGGGACCAAGTAGTTCTTCGTTATCTTCTCGAGGTCGAAAAGGGTCTTTTTGGATATCAAGTGAATGAACTACCATTGGGCTAGTCAATGAATGATCTTTATATAGAATCATTATAGAACCTTTTTCGATATAAATTGATTGATGAATGAAAATCTCATTCTCCGAGTGCTCAAATTGCGAGTCGAGATAACATTTAATTTACCCTAGATATTCACATCAAATTATTTTTTTAGGTAACTTATGACATTTGGAATCTCTTCGGGAGTTCCAATAATATTTAAGTTATTAACATATACAACAAACCTCTTTTCAAATAAAAACATATGAACAAATAGGGTTATTTTTTATAACTTTCTTTTAACAAATAATCATTGAAGTGATTATATCACATGCACATAGGTTAATAATAAACGAGTAGATATAGAAATAAAATATAAAAAGTATAAATTGAATTTTTAAAAACCAAAATAATAAAACAAATACTAAAATAATCCTAATAGAGATCTCTATTATTTAATTAAATTCTTATCTCGAGAATATATATTACATGCTTCTAGCATGTTAAGTCCTTCGAGGATTTTTATACCGATTCATCTCAAATGAAAAAAATAAATTGTGATCATATTCATTAAATACATACATATGAATGTTTTTTCACATATTTTGTCGAGCTACCGAGATAATAAAATATAATTGCATCCATTATAGGAGAATATGTCTCCTCATAGTCACTATCGCTTCTTTGCAAAAACTCTCGTGTTGAAAGTTTTGCTTTGATCTTACAATCTCATCTTTCTTATTTCGTGTTTGTATAAATACTTATTTGTATCTCAACAGACTTAATATCTTCGAGTGTTTTAGCTATGGGTTCAAAAAACAACTCTTTTGTAGGAGAACATAATTCTATCCGGATTGCTATTTTTATTTAGGCCAATCATCTTTATATCAACATTCTTCAATAATTTAGGCTCAAGATCCTTACTTTCATTCAAAATATCAATTGTAACTTTACATACAAAAATCTTATCAATAAATATTTCTCTTCGGTCCTATTTTCTCCCTGTATTGACATAATTTATCAAAATCTTTTGATTTTTCTCAAGCATTTGGACTTCTTCGGAAGCCAATTATCAAAAATATCTTGGACCGTTTTGTGAATATTTACATTCTTTATATTTTCATCTTGTCCTTTTCTCTTAGGGATTTTTATCTTTAGAACCGATCGATCTTTCACACTTCGTGCGTGCTTTAAATTCGTCGACTATAATATTAATAGATCGTCCTTTTAGGACATCAATTCTAATAGAAGCATTCTCAACGAGGACATGTATTTTATTTACTCTTTTAGGATATGAGAATACATCTAGTAGTTGGTTTATAATACCTTATAAACGAATTATCTTGTGAACTTTTAGTTCACATTGTTTTGTACCAAATTGATATAAAGATAGGGTACTCCATGTAATATCTTTTTTCAATATTTCTAACTCGCTTATTTTGTTTATTCTCTCCCCCTAATGTTGGAAAAACTATTTCATCAAAATGACAAGTCGATAAATCAAGTCTGTAAAATTATCACTTATTCATGATTCAAGATATTTAATTATCAAAAAGAATTTAAATCCAATATATATTCTCAATCTCCTTTAAGTGCCCATTTTATTTTCTTATGAAGGAGCACTAAGGATATACACTACAATGCCAAAAAATTCTTAAATAAGAAATATTTGACTTATGACCATAAATCAACCGAAGAAGAGAGAATTTCTAATAACTTATAGGTCATATGCAAATAAGTATTGCTGCATGTAAGATTGCATAACCCCAAACATAAAAAAGGAGTTTTATTTTTAAATAATGATTTAGCTATCAATTGAAGTTTTTTGATAAATGATTTTGCTAAATCTTTTTTAGTATGAACATGAGCAATAGGATGTTCAACCTTTATTTTAATAGCCAATCAATGATAATATAATGCTTGAGAAATAAATTCATCAAGCATTATCAAGGTGACTTGTTTTAATGACATAATTTGAAAATTATGCTCGAAATCAAATTATTTGCTAGCAATGTCGAAAACGTCGAGTTTTGAGTAGATAATAAATAAATATGTGACCATCTTGTAGATGCATTTATCAAAATTGTAAAATATTTAAATAGTCTACATGGTGGATGAATTTATCCACATATATCACCTTGAATACATTCTAACATACTCGGAGATTCAATCTAAATTTTACTTGATGATGGCTTAATCATCAATTTGTCTTGGCAACATGCGAGAACATAAAAGTTCATTAAATTAAAGAATCTTTTGGCTCTTTAATAGATATTCATATAAATTTTTTAATAATTTTTTTCGTATCATGAAAGACCTAAGATAACACAACTGGTCATGTCATATAGTAAAAGTATTTGAATTAGTAAACTTCGGTTTACGACAATATTTGTTTCAATCATTTCAATGTTTATAATAAAGACTAGAAGAGAAAATAGATAAATTTTTTGATAGATATTTTCTACCCAATATAATGATTATAACCTATAAGTATTTACATTTGCTATCTTTATATGATATCAATTCGGATGAATATCTTTGAAACTCAATAAATTTCTATGAGACTTTGAAGAGAATAGTACATCATTCATAATAAATTTATCCTTTCGGATAATAAAATATTTGCTCTGCTGGAGCCTTTAAATTAGTCACTTCAAGTAATAATATATCGATTCTTCTAGAGCCTTTAAACTTTTTCTATTCAAGTAATAATTTATTCACTCTTCTAGAGCTTCAAAAATTTATCTCTTCAAGTCATGATATAATCGCTCTTCTAGAGTCTTCAAAATCTATCTCTTTAGATAATAATATAGTCGCTCTTCTAGAGCTTTCTATTAGATTGATATTATCATATATAATATTAACATAAAATAAATAATCAAATAAATCAATACAAAATAAATAAATTAATATATGCCTCATAAACATAAACAAATAAATAAATAGTAAAATAAATTTGTAACCATTAACATACGACATAAATTATAAGACATATAAAATATTTTATTTATAAATAGAAAAACTAACAAGTAATTAATTTCAATTACTATTATTTTGATATATAAAAGTGACCTTCATATTTGACTTTTTATTTTTCAATAAGGCTTGAGCATGCTCAATGAGGTGCTTTGGTGTATGACGATATGACGTGTACACGATCAATATTCATTCATTCCACATCTATAATATTTATTTTTCAGAATACCGACTTTATATTTTTTTTCATAGTTATCCACTTCGGTGGTGAGACGTAATATTAAGGTCATCACGATTATAATGATAATTATTTCAACCATATCCATGGCTATGACCACATCTTCATCCATGTCTAAAATTATTATAAATTATCACATTCACTTCGGGGAATGGAGTAGATCCAATTAGATGAGATTTATCCTTTTTCATTTTATTTAGCCACTAACAAGTATAAAATCGATCCAAAATATTTCTTAAACTCTTTTTCTCGATGTGCTACCGCAAAAGCATATTCAAGACATAAAAAGTAGAGAATATTTTTTTCAAAATCAAGCACTCATAATCAATAATTCTTATTCAAAATATCAAGAGTCACCAAATCAAGTTTATGAGGTTTGATATGATAAAAATTCTATAATACAATATATAATAATATTATTAGAAAATAAGAATAAATATAATAATAAAATTAAAGCTTTTCAAATAACATATATTAGATCATTTAAGTTTTTCAAATATATATTTCATGTATCAATAGATTTAAAGTACATGAATAAATTAGATACATACATCTTAATGATCTAAATAATTTAGATCTTTTAGTAGAGCACTTGTATAGAAGAAATTCAATTGTTGAAACAATTGATTAAATCTTTTGATAGATACATACCTCATGGTCTATTGTCTCAATTGGTTAGAGCTTCGTGTTGGTAACGTGCTATAAAACAAATAGAAATAATAGGAGAATTGAAGAAAATGATGATAAGAAAATGAAATCACTATAATGTGAATATAAGTGATAAGAACTTCAAAGTTTATCTTATTCTCTCTAGAAAACTTATACACCAACTAATGAATAATTAAGCCTATTTATAGTTTTTAAAATTGAAGAGAGAATTGGAAGGGACTATAAATAATCAATTGCATCATCCTTTCAATTTCTCATATTGAATGATGAATTGAATCATATTAATAATGATGAATAGTAGGGATATAAAAAATAGATAAACATGATGATGGACATTTATTATTTCATAACAATAACAATATATTAATAAAAGATACTTAAGAGGCAACCCCTCTTTGACAAAATTAAAGGTAAAAGAGATGACCCCTTAGTGTCTCTTCATAACGATTAAAGAGAGAGAATTTATTTTTTATTTTATTTATTTATTAAATTGAAAAAGGTGCAAACCGCAAAAGCCTCCTCGTGCAGGTATTTATTTAGTTTTGAATGTTTTATTATTAATTATTCAGCTATTATTTTAACAGTATAACTTTTTGATATTTGATTAAAAAAAAAAAAAACTCTCTCGTCTATGTTTCTTTTTATTATCTAAAAAAAAAGTTAAATTTAGGATTATGAATTTAATTGTACGTGGACAACGCAATTAATAAAAATTAAATTCAAAACATTTTAATTGTAAAAATCGAAGAAGCTTAGACACTTAATATATCATTAATTTATATCTTTTTTTTTAAAAAATATTAATTTGGTCTATATATAAATAATAAAAAGCGGCCATAGTAACATTTCTCCGATAGTTTCCCCGGGTTTTAATGTATGGAATACAGAAGAAAAGGCAATAAATAAGGAGCTAACAATGTAGTCCTCGTACTTCTACAATGTTGCATCTTGGAGATTTTGCTTCAGCATAGGGTGAATATATTCATGATAGCCATCAGAGACAACCGAGTCATTGGGAGGATCTTTCCATGCTTCTCCGTAGAGTTTTGGATACGCATATCCATCATAGCAACCAAGAACCGACCCAAGGAAGTGATCAGTACTGTAATTAAATGCATCATCAACAAGAGCGATTGTGTTGGGTCAGACCTAACCATGAATCCAAACAAGAAAAAAAATGTTCTTAAATAGCAAAAGCAAGAGGATAAGGAGAATATGGCATTGCTGGAAAGTGGAAACTAACCTGGGAGTATAAAGATCTCAGCTGATCATTTGCCAGTGAAACTTGCTTGGGGGTAATGCAACCAGTGGACAGGAAATCACTCAAATGATTTTGAAGAAGTTTCGTAGCATAAATGTTGCAGAGATTCAACAACCGTTGTTTCACCCCTTTTCCTGGAATACTCTTGCAATTTCTCAATGAACCTGCAACAGGAACAAGTAATACGAAGTAAAATAAACAGCGGAATCTAGGGAATGAAGTTTAGCAACCAACTCTATTTCCCTATGTTACAATTTGCCAAAAATTGCTATAAGAAATTCAGCACAAAATGGAGGTTTGGTTCCCTCTGATCTCAGAAACATCTTCTCCAATTCACTCTAAAAGCAAGGCATAATTGCACTACTTTTTCAGCTAGTCTTACACAGCATATAATAAAACATTAAATTGTAGTTATTCGGTTCCTTTTGTTATAGGCTTTTCTGAACTAGGAAGTTGAAACTCTTACGTGCGTTGATGGGTCCGGATGAAACGTGTCACCTTTCTCTTTTTTTACAGGAGCCTCAAAGAGCATGCATCTTGCCAAACCAATCGCACACAGAGTTTCTAAAGACTGGCCATTTCCTGGAGGAAAGCGATGTAGTCTTGCAACCTGGAGTACTCATCCCACACGAGAGTTCACATCACCATAAAATATTTAATAAAGATACTCTTTTAAAACTTTCCTAGCCTAATCAAGTCTCATCATGACAAAAGAGATGTTGTCAAATGCACATCACATCATACGTGCAAACCATCCAAAATTGACTCCTAAAGCTATCAGTATTCGAGAAATGGACGTTCTATCCTTTTCACGAATGCAACGTGCCAAAATCTCGCCTGTACATGAGCTCTAACCACCAAGAATGTTTGGTTCCCACTCATGTACAATTCTCTACATCGCTGAAATACATACTAATTTTCCTAAATATCTAATAAGATTTGAAAAGAGTCTCTTCAATAAATTACATTTTTTTCAATTAATAGATATTTTAAATAATCACACAAACATTACACATATCGAAACTAATAAATTTATCGGATACTCCATCGAAATTAAATCCAAAACTCGTCCTCAATACTTCATTGTTGAGCATTAAACCAATCTTATTTCTCTTCAATTTTTAAAAATCTCGGACCTCTCAAGTTCGATACGTTACAACATATTTAAGCACATTTCAACAATTATAAATTAAATAATTAAAATATATAACTTTAATTAAAAGCAAATTTGAAATAAATTTATTTTTCTAACTTTTCTATGGTCTAGGCTAAGTTTGTCTAATCCCGAATTTGTTTCAAATTTCTAAACTATATAAATTACCAATTGGATAATTAGCTCCGTAACTTGATACATAAGGAGGTAGAAAATGTTATTTCACCATTTCCTATGTATGGGATGAGTTCTAGTCAAAACGATAGTCCAAAAAAGCATCATTAGACTTTCTTTATGATTGCCTTAAGATCTCTCTATCTAAATCATAATAGGATCTTAGCTCGGATCCGAGCTTTTGTAGGTTTCTTTGTAGTGCATGTAACAATTCAAAGTAAATATCTAATTCGAGTTCAAAATTAAATATGTACATCAATGCAAGAAAAATAAATTGCATAAAGTTAAAATCATTTATAAAAAATATTAATATAATTTAATCTTGTATCTAAATTCTATTAATACTAATTCAAATTAACACTAATTAATCGATATTAACATACTTAAGCCTAAATTAACCGTAGTTTACCGTAAGATAACCCTAATTTTAACCTATTTAACCCTAATTAACTCTAAATTAAACCTAATTAATCCTAATTTAACCCTAATTAAATCCTAAATAACCCTAATTAACCTTAATTAAACCTAAACTAACCCTAATTAATCCTATTTAAACCTAAATTAATCCTAATGTAACCCTAAATTAATCATAGTTTACTCTAATTTAACCCTAATTTTACCCCATTTAACCCTATTTAAACCTATTTCATTTTGAATTAACTTAAAACAATTCACATTTATTAAATTAACCTAATTAATCAACTAATAACTATTTTTATTAAACCTAATTAACCCTAATAAAACCCTAATTAAAACCTAATTAAACCTTGATGAACCCTAACTATCCATATTTAATCATTTAATTAATCTTAATTAACCCTATTTAAACCTAATTTAACTCTAAACTAACCCTAGTTTACTCTAATTTAATCTAATTTTACCCTATTTAACCCTAATTAATACTAATTTACCCTAATCAACCCTATTTAAACCTAATTTCATTTCAAATTAACCGAAAACAATTCATCCTTATTAAATTAACCTAATTAGCCAACTAATAACTAATTTTTATTAAACCTAATTAACACTAATTAAAACCTAATTAAACCCTAGTGAATCCTAATTAACCATATTTAATCCTATTTAACCATATTTAACTCTAATTAAACCCCTAATTAATCTTAATTAAAACTAATTAACCCTAATTTAACCTAATTTATATTAAATTACAATAATTCAGCCTAATTAAATTAACCAAATTAACCTAATTAAATTAACACTAATTCAAATTATTTAATTTAATTAAAATAAAAGGCCTAAGAATTAACAAAAACAACATATAATTAATTAATCAAAACTAACATAACAATTAATACAAATAGGTAATGTGAATGAAAAAAAAAAAAAAGCAGAGAGAGAGTGAACTAACAATGGGGGGTAGAGGAGAGGAATTAAAGGGTCGAAACACGATTTTTGGGGAGAGAGGAGCATCGCATCGATTGGAGGATGATGGGGAGAGAATTGCATCGCCTTGGGAGGTCGATTTGGGGCTAGGCAATCGACGAGAGCAAGAAGAGAAGAGAGGATAAGGAAAGAGAAAAAAGGAAATGGGGAAGAAGAAGAGTTTCGTTGATTTAGGGATTCAAAATTAGCGACGAATAACATTTTGTGCTAATCCATTGCTAATTAACAAGGGATTTAAGTGTTCGACACTAATACATATTTAATTTGGTTGTCTCATTTTATGTTCTTTTCAAAAATGGACCAACATTAAGATTTAGCAATGGAGAACTAAATTTCGTTGCTAAACTATAGCTACCTAGTAATAGAATTATTTTTCCATCGTTAAATCGATCGTCCTATTTTCTAAATGTTTTCCAATTTGTCCATAGTATATAATCAGCAACGAAACATAAAAAATTATTGCAACGCCATTGCTAATTAGTTAAGGACTTATGTTTTCATTGCTAATTGAAACAAAAATATAAATTAGTGATAGAATATAATATCCATAGCTAAGTTCCCTCACAAAATCGTCGCTAATCCATTGCTATTGTGGGCATATTGCAATTTAGCGACAAAACATTATCTCGTCACCAATTTTTCATCGTAATACCGATGCAATTCTATTTTAAATTATTTCTGTCATAGTTACGTTGCAAATCCGTCGCAAACTAGAGATGGTTGACCATCCTTCACTAATTTATGTCGCTAATTAACTGATTTCTTGTAGTGATTACAAAGACAAAACTAAACTAAAAAATATCAAAAAGCCAAAAAAGAGTTTAGGGGTGAAAGACTATTTTCTTTTAGTATATTTACTAGCATAGTATCCACACTTTGTCGTGGATAAGTCTATTATATACTATATTTTAATATTTTAAATAATTCAAAAGTATAGACATAAAATAAAAATTAATTAACGCTAATTGTAAAATTTAATTTAATTTAATATGTATTATGCAATACTTAATAAAAATATATTTATATATTTCATAATTGAGTTCAAATTTGTCTTAGGAATATTTTTTATTTTGATAAAGAAAAAATGCAACTAATTATTTAAAAAAAATAAAATTAGAAGATGTGTAATCAATTTATATTAGAAGAATGTTTAATTTTAGTTAATGAGTCGTTACAAAAAAAAAAAAAAAACCATTAATTATGGAAAGAAAATTTATTTTGAGTAAATAATAAATAATGAAAAAATTAAAAGTATAAAAAAAGAAAAAAAAAGGGTTGGATTTGAGCCGACGAAGCCTTGTTGTATGGGCCTCGAGAACTAAGCCTATGTAGTTGGGTCGGAGTCCAACCGAACCAAAAAAATACAGAGACTTTTTTATAATAATAATTAAAATTAGAAATTATTTTGTATAAAATCATAATTTAAAGCACAAAAGTGTAAAAAATGAGATAAATTTACACAAAAAAAATTACTTTTTTTTTTGTGGAAAATAGAGTCGTTTCAAGTAAAAAAAAAAAAAGACTCAAAATTACGTCGTTTTGGTTCGCTATAACGGAACCTAGTTATAATAAAATCATATATCCTTTTATATTATTTATAATTAATTAACTAGTAGTTTATGGGTTTGATATTCTAATATATAATTAATTAACTAGTAGTTTATGGGTTTAATATTAAGAATTACTTTTTCATTAGATATGGTTTATTTAAAATAGAGAAATCTCTTGGTGTAATTGACGTTTGAGAATTTCTAAATGATACCATTGTAAATATCCATCATCACAGCTTTCTTCCTCATGTTCACCATAACACAAGCTACGACTCAAACCATAAATCACTTCTTATTGCTTACAATGTATCCGATATTTGTTCTTCAAGTGTAATTTGAGCTTTACCATGATAAAGTGCGAAAGGAAGTGGGCATATCTTTTTCCATCGAAGTTGACAAACAAGCACAACACCTCGGCTCTAACTAATGGATTTTAACCATGGCCCATTCTTAGGAAACAAATCAAGTAAAAGAATATAATAGAACAATAAAAATAATTATACAACACAAAGATTTTATGTGGTTCAATAATGGTACCTATATACTAGGGTTTCTTATTAAGTTTTGTCAAGTAGCAGACTACAAATACAAGTTATATTACCTCTATTTATAGTGTGGACAACTAGAGTTATATATAAAAAAAGCTTAACGAGCTTACACATCCGGTGTAATATTTTGTAGACTTTTTGCTCGCCTCGAGCCCTCGCAAGGGGCACCACTCCTTCGACCCTTGCTAATTGGCTAGTGAGACCATCGTGCTCGGATCTATATAACACCTTATACCTGCAGGCCCTCATCCACATCAATCTCCACAACTTAACAATCATGACCATATGTCTAAATTAAAAACATTAAATATAAGGGTGATAAAACTTCATTTTGAAAATGTACCTATAAAAACGAGTACAATGTTGTCTCCATCATATTTAAGCATTGTTTTAAAAAAATGATCATTACGTAATGTAACGATTGTTATATAATGGTAACGGGGCACTCCGTTATCGTTATTAAGCATTATTGGTGCCCCGATGCTCGTTTCATACCTATAATAGTAGATAAAAGTGTTACTATTATGTAACGTCATTATTTGTCGTTATATAATGACGTTACATAAAAAAATTAACTCGCTGAAATTTAGCCAAGACGAGGACAATTAGACAAGCATTTTCATAACCCATCTATGCTAGAAGGGACTAATTTATAATTTACTCAAGAAAATGACTGGTCCGTGGTGAGAAATGTGTTTCTTTTTTTGTTTTTTTCCCACAACATAACTTTTTATTTGATTCCAAACTAGTGATTCAAATGTAAAGAAGGCGAGGCAGGACATGACAAGACACCGAGGATTGTCCTTTTGTCTATTTCTTGTAACTTTTTTTGGTCTTCAAATTCAATCTAATAACATCAACTAAGGGAAAACTCGAACTAAGTATAACGACGTTACATAAAAAAATTAACTCGCTGAAATTTAGCCAAGACAGGGACAATTGGACAAGCATTTTCACAACCTATCTATGCTAGAAGGGACTAATTTATAATTTACTCAAGCAAATGACTCGGTTTGTGGTGAGAAATGTGTTTCTTTTTTTTGTTTTTTTTTC